GGTGGTGAGACCCTGTCCCAGGGTGCCCAGGGAGGCTGTGGCTGCCCCAACCCTGGCAGTGTTCACAGCCAGGTTGGATGAGCTTTGAGAATTAAGGGTTGCATTTTGCACTTTGCCACTAGCTACCAGGTGTGACCACTTTACCTCTCCTGCTTCAGATCCTCCATCTACGTAACACAGATGTTTTCCTTTGTTAAAGTGAAGGTTCAGATTGGGTGTGAGTAGAAATGTTTTCCCTGTTGTGGTGTTGAGGCCCTGGGATATTGCCCAGGGAGGTGGTGCAGTCACCATCCCTGGAGGGGTTTCAGAGGTGTCTGATGTGGCACTGGAGGATCTGGTTTAGGGTTTAGGGGTTCCAGCAGTGACAGGTAAAGGGTTGGACTCAGTGATCTTAGAGGTGTCCTCCAACCCTGATGGTTCTGTGATTCTGAGTTCTCAAGCAATGATAGTTGCTGAACTTTGTGTAAATGCTGAGTAGGATTATGTTCCTGAGCTCCTACTCTGAAGTAAATATGTCTTTTCCTTTCTCCCCTCTCCTGCAGACACTTCCTGCAGACATCAAAGAATCCATAACAGACATTATCAAGTTCATGTTGCAGAGAGAATACGTGAAGGTATGTTTGTTTGCTCTCCTCAGACTGGTTGTAAATGGTTGACTTTATTGCTTCAGCATTCCCATTTTCTTTCATTTTGAGGGTACAGAGCTGGAAATGCAACATCTATTCAAACAAGATGAGAAATGGCTGATAAATGTTAGGCTCCAGGTAGTGTTTGATCCACAGCCTGCCAGAGGACCTTTTGAGGGTTGTGGACCTGCAAAGTTTTGCCAGCATGAAGAGGATTTTTCCTGGGGATGGTTATATATTGAGCTGCAGAGGAATCCTCTGGGAAACCTGATAGTGCAAGGATAAGTGAAGGGGTTGAATGAGTAGTAATAGGGCATTGAGTAATTAATGAGGAATTTATTGAGGCAAGCTGAGGTCTGGTCTGCAGCCAGTGTCCCTTTCTTTGGCTGTGCTCATGTTAGCTGTCCTGGGGAAGGGGAGGGAAGGTAATGGAACATTTTTAGACAAGGTGCTCACTGGAGGAGGCAGAAGATGTGTGGGATACAATATCAAAGGCAGTGTTAGGTTTGTTTGTAGCTGCTTTCAGAACTCAAACACCAGCAGCATTTGCTGAAGTAGCTTGTGCATGCAGAGGAAACTGAGCAGTGTTTTGCCTTCAGGTTTCTTATTATCCCTGTGAGGACTTGGGGTGATCTGTAAGTAAGCAGCAAACCTGCTCTTGGTACTGAAGGAATTCCAGATGGCAAATTTAGTCCAAGTCTTCGGAGAGTGGAGCTGACAGTGTGGGGTGTTGGATAGTGGGGGCTGGTTTGGGGCATTGCTTTTCTTTGCTTGTCATCAGCATGGGGAAATTCCCATTAGGGTGTCAGGGTGTTGAGGCCCTGGGATATTGCCCAGGGAGGTGGTGCAGTCACCATCCCTGGAGGTGTTTCAGAGGTGTCTGATGAGGGACTGGCGGATCTGAGTTAGGGTTTGGGGGTTCCAGCAGGGACAGGTTAAGGGTTGGACTTGATGACCTTAGAGGTCTCCTCCAACGCTGATGGTTCTGTGATTCTAAGAGCTGGGATGGGTGTTGTGACTGTCTTCAGCAGTGCAGGAGGGCCCTGCTGCCCTCCCTGCTTTGCTGAGTGCCCTCCCCCTGGTGCAGGCCAACGATGCCTACCTGCAGATGGCCATCGGGAACGCGCCCTGGCCCATCGGGGTCACCATGGTTGGCATCCACGCGCGCACGGGCCGCGAGAAGATCTTCTCCAAGCACGTGGCACACGTGCTCAACGACGAGACTCAGAGGAAATACATACAGGTAGGTCAGCGTTGGGAATCCACGGTTTGTTCTGAGCTCAGGGGATCTGTGGGAAGGACCTGGAATGGGCCAGGGGCCACAGTTTGGGTCAGGCATAGCATCCTGTCAGTTGGCAGCGTGTCCTGGACCTGAAGGCTCTGCAGTGCTGGCCCAGCAGCTGTCTGGTGGGTGTCTCTGTCCTCACTAACTGGGATCCTGTGTGGATGCCAAAGCAGCTTGGAAGATGTGCTTGATTCTCCTGATGTCCTTCACTGTTCAGCTCATGGTTTAGACATCATGCATGGAATTTACTACCATGAAATACACTCCTGACTATTTCTGCAACAAGAGAAATGTGTTCATAAATGCACTCATGTTTCAGAGGTGTCCTTGACCATGTGGGCTCAGAATTCCAGGTCAGTTTCTCCTGTGCATCCTCATACTCATGTGGTCAACCTTTGGCTGCAGAATTTGTAGCAGTGGTGTTTTTCTTCCCTGACCTTTCAGCACAGTGGGTGGACAGGAAGAAATAAGTCCAGTGTATTTCCCTCTTGCCAGCTGCAGTGTCATTGAGCTGAAGACCTTCTGGCTGCCCTGTGGACCCTGCAGAGCAGCCTCAGCTGTGGCAGGGGAGGTTTGCACCAACAGCTGCTGCAGCATTTCAGCTTCTGCAGGGGTCTGCAAGGACATTCCCCTTCTGCTTCTGGGGCTGCAAGTGGAGCCTTTGGGTTCTCTTTAGCTATAGTTTCTGATATCATAACCCAAAGAAATGTTCTTGTGAAACCAGAGGAACCTCCAGACACTTGGATTCTCTTGTAAGGTTCAGATTGCCACAGGGATTCTGCGTGTTCAGGGTCAGGTTCCAACTGGTGTAAGGCTTGCCCGGAAGTATTTGGTGGAAGAAACAGCTCATCTCAAACCAAACACTGGTGGTATTCCATCTCAGTCAGCCCTGATGTTGCTCTTTCAGTTTGGGTAACTCAGAGGCACGGGGTGGATTGGAAGGACCTGAAAGCCCATCCAGTTCCACCCCCTCTGCCATGGGCAGGGACACCTCCCACTGAAGGCTGCTCAGTATTGGCTGCCTGTGCCCCTTTGCCACTCCTGTAGCAGAAATCTCTCTGCTCTCTAGTGTTGCTTGGTCTCCCTTAACACACCCTGTGGAAGGTAGGACATCTGTGCATTCCCCAGTTTGTCCCTTCTCTGCCTTTGGGATTGAATCTGTGGATCAGGGAAGTCTTTGTGTTCACCTTCCCCCAGTGAATTTTGTATCTTTGCTTCTGAACTACTGAACTCACTGAAGCACCAGGACAAAGTTGCCTTTGGATGTGCATGTTCTTTGTGCTGGTGTAAATGCCAGGCCTGGCTGAGTGTGGTTCGGTCTGGAGCTTGGGGTCTCACCTGGGCTCACAGCATCCCAAACAAGGAGTCTGGTGGTGCTGGCACATACTTCCCATGCTTGCCTGCCTGGGTGAATGGTCTGTCCCTGGGTGAGGAGGAGTGTGATGACAGGCACATGGCTCTGCCCTCTTGGAGTGCAGTGCCACTGCTAACTTGCTCTCCCACCACAGCAGTTTGTTTTCCTCTGTGTTAGCCTCTTCTGCATGGCTCAAAAGAACAAAATCACAGGGTTTCTGTCGTGTTGGTTTTGGCAACTGATGCCTTGACAGAGCTGAAGAGAGAAGTCCACGTTCTGCCTTTGACTGCTGCATCAGTTTGCCCCTGCTGTGTCATGTGCCGTGCCATGTTCTCCTCCTGAGAGTGTTCGGTTCTGCTCGTGGCTGTGCAGCTTCTCTGGGTGTCAGAACCTGCTTTTTGCTCTTCAGAGTCACTCCTAATATTCAGCTTCCCTTTAAATGTCTTGTATCATGATCCTGTTTTTCCTCCCTTGGTGGTGAAGAGGCGTGAAAGCATTACTGAGATCCCGTGATCTCACCAGGTGGGACTGCAACTGTGACCTCTTTGGTTATGCCACAAACTCCTCAAAGAGAACTTGAAACCTGGAATGGAAAAAGCTCCAAAGAAAAGTTCCAACCCCAGAGTAACAGCCTGTTCTGTTTAGTTCCTCTTGTTAGGCTGAAGGATAATGGAGGTTTTTTGGCAGCTGCTGTTTCATTACAGAGTTGTCCTTGCTTTGTTGATTCCTAGGGGCTGAAGAGGCTCATGACCATTTGCCAGAAGCACTTCCCAACGGACCCATCCAAGTGTGTGGAGTACAATGCTTTGTGAGGCTCTGCGGGGGCCAAGACATGTCTCACACTTCGGTCTGCAGGACCCAGGAAGGATGGAAGAGGCAGAGTTTGTGCTTGGACACCAAGGGGAACTCGGGGTGGGCTTTGTGCAGAAGCATCAAGCAGCAGATTTTCTACAGCTTCCTTTGTACAGTGCCCACTCGCTGAGCGTTGTGTGGATCTGGGCCCTGTGCTGAGCGCGTGAGGCAGAGCAGGGGGTGGGCTGGGGAGGGGTTTGGCCAGGCAGGGACCAGGGGACACCCAGTGTGTCTCATCTCACCATGCTGTCCCCACCTGTGGGAGCTCTGGGTGAGACTCAGCCCTGCAGGGACACGTGTGGAGCTTCCCTGGCTGCTTCCAGCCGGAGGCTGCTGGGGATGTGAGGGAGGCAGCAGAGCCTGAGTCCTGGTTATTCTGTAAATATGAAGGCTTTACTGGCTGATCTTTCATGTGGTATTTATCAGGAATAAAAAAAGGTTTGTATATTTCTCAGCCTCAGTGCACAGAGTTTTTGATCTGGAATGTGTCTGATTTGGCTTTTTTTTTGTCTTTTTGGTAATGACATGTTTTAATACAAACCTTCTGGGCTTGGGGGAAGTAATCTTAGGGCTCTTGAGGCTTTCAAGTCCCGTTTTCATACATCTGGAGAAAATTTCAAGCTGTTGGGCACTGCAGAGAAAATAATTAGGACCTCCCATGACTACCAAGAGTATTTCTAGCAGCCACAGATCTTTAGTGTGGTGCCTCCTGCCTGGGGGTGGCAAAGGAACTCGGGGAGTGGTGATGTCTAACTCTGCATAAACAGTGATGGAACTGTGTTAGTTTTGAGCAGAGCCACTGCCTGAAGTGTCAATGTTCCAGTGTGTGGGTTTGTCCAGGTCATCACCTCGACTGGCCCCGTGGAGCAGGACCTGGTGCTCTTCTCTCAAGGAGTTACTCACCTCCCATGTGCTGTGGCACAGTAAGACATGATGCTGGGGGAGCTGTGCTGAAGAAGTACCTTGAGGAACTTCAGGTTCTTCTGGAGACTTGCTTAGCCTCCGAAGTGCCTCTCTGGACACAGGAGGTTTTCAGTCTGGAGTGTCTGACCCCAGAGAAAATGTCAAGAGCTTAACCAGTTCTGAAGTCGTAAAGATGAGGCTGATGGGACCTCACTGGTGTTTGGGGAGTTGTGGGAGAGGCTTGGGCAGATGTCAAGAGCGTGGAAGGGTTTCATTAGCACTGGTGTCTGGTGATTTTTTTTTTTGGGTAGATATTACAACAGGAAACATTTATAACTGCAACTTTATCCCTCTCCCCACCCAGGCCATTTCCTGAGCTGCCTCTAAGTCTTCATGCTGAGTTTTGTACTCTGTAAGTAATTGAGGAACAGCATTGTCTCTTGTGCAGAGGAGCTGTAATTACCCAGGAAATGCAGAGTGAGTATCAGGGGGTGGTTTAAGGAATGTTGTATCCTCTGCTTTAGAGGGAAGTGGATTCCTTGCAGTGTCTGTCACAGCACTGCGTGGATTTCCCCCTGCTTTGACATCCCTGGGGTGGCACCGCTCGGGGAGCTGAGGAGCTGAGTCCTTTCTCAGGGCATAGCTGGGTAAGAGCTTCCAGCTGTCCAGCACGTGTGAGCCAGCCCTGGGGCTGGGGCTGGGCTGACACAGCTGCTTCCCATCACGGGCTGAGCGGGGCTGGAAGGCCCCAGATCTCAGCCTGCAGAGGGGTAGGGAACTGCTGCGTGACACGTTTGTGGGAAGGGGATGGTTCAGCTCAGCAGTTTAGGCTTCTCCCTCTGGGCTGCTCCAGATGTTTATTGCTGATAATCCCTGCGTCGGGCAGAAATAGCTCTGTTGGATCTCGAGTCCTGCAGCCTCAGGCTGAAGTTGTGTGTTAGCCGTGGTGGTGTCTGGAGAGGTTTGGGGACTCCCCTGGGTGGCTGTGGCAGCCCCTGACCCTTCCCGAGCCTGCAGGGGGAAGGGGCTGTGTGAGGTGAGCTCACACTGCACCATCCCTGCCCGACAGAGGTGTTACCATGCCCGATGGTGGTTAATTGGCTCTAATTCCCTGTCTGCTGCTTGTGTGTACTGCTGGAAAGGCTCTTTGGTGTGTGTGGGATCAGTTTGTTTGGCTGGAGGAACTGGGTCCTGCTATAGAATCACCATCATAGATACAGTTCTGCCCAAAGGGTGAACCTGGATGGGATGTAAAGGGAAAAGAGTGCTCCAGGTGCTGGGCCTGGGGGTGAGAGCACAGTGAGGTGCCTTCCACGAGGGCTGGCACAGGGTCAGTGCTGGGGCCGAGGCTGGAGCAGCCAGAGCTGCTGGGGGAGCTGCCTGCAGCAGTGTTGGGAGCCCCTGGCAACACCTGAGCCAAGGTCCTGAGTTCGAGGGGTGTCTGAAAACCTCCATCACAGCTGGTTTGTCCCACCCCAAACCCTCCCGGGGAGCTCCTGCACCCCGTGGTGCCCATCACTCTGGGGTGGTGCCACTGGTGGCTCCCTGTGCAGTGTGTGGCTCGGGTGGATGGTACAGGAGACTCTAAGGTGGGAAGAGGCTCCCTGGGGAACAAACGGGAGGTGCAGGAAGTGTGGGAGATCCCATGTGAGAGCTGTGGCTGTTGGGAACTGCCTGTGCTTCAGGAGAGGTTCAGAGAGCCCTGTCCTCTCAGGACAGTCTCTGCCAGGTGGGTTCCCTCAGGAATGTAACCTGGGAGCACTGGGAAGGTGCTGGTGCTCTGGCTGGTGGCACAGCTGTTGGCACCACAGCCTGGCAGCTCCGTTCACTCAGCATTACCTGGTGGTCCCAAGGTGTGTGGGATGTGAGTGTTGCTCTGGTGACTCTGGAGGTTGGGCAGTCAGTCCCTGTGGGTCCTGCTGAGCCCCAGGACAGTGCAGGGTGGGTGTCCTGGCCAGCTGTGAGCACATCTGTGTGTGGTGTCCCCAGGTGAGCACTGCCCTGACCCCCAAAGAGAACACTGCCAAGGTTCCTTTTGAAAATGCTTTAATAAGGAAGTGTTGACAACACCGTTTTGCAAAATGTAAAGGTAACTATACAAATTCTTAATACAAAAAGAATAAATTAAAAGCAGATCTTTTTTAATTCTGCAACTTTTTCTACAACATACATTTTTTTTTTCCTTGATTACGGCTGAACAGAATCCAGTAAAATCATTTCCCATGCTCTAAAGTCAATTTCAGGAGAGATCTAATGTTGGTATTTTTTTTTAATTCTTTTTTTTTCTTTTTCTTAAACTAGAGAGTCCATTTTACACAACTTGTAATAAAACTATTGACATTAATATATATGTAAAACTTTACATCTAGTTAACTAAGCAGTAACTGGTCATCTGATAGCACCTGAATGGGGTCGGCTATGCCTGGAACTAAAACTAGGACAGAGTGAGAACAAACGGGACTGGTTCAACATTTCCAACACTTGACTGCATGTAACAGCATTGCAAAACAAGCCCTGGCCCCAGCCTGGGGCTCGGGAGGTACCAGAGGGCAGGAGGGGCTGACTCAAGTGCTTGTCTCTAACACCTATTTATAGCCCTCTCCGTGTTAGACTTACTATGTTAATCTCACACGATTAACATTTTATGTACATCTGTGTTTAATTGAATGGAGCTAAACAGTAAAACCTGTTTTACTTAATCTGTCTTTACTACCAGACTGGCTGCTCAGTGTGCCTCGCTGCAAACCTGGAAAGCAGAACACAAAGCAAAACTCAATCCGTTTCTAGGAGCTTTCTCTTCTTCCTCTCCACTGCAGCCTGCTTGCAATTCAGGCTCACCATGCCTGTTCCTTCGTTTCAGGGCTGCCACCCTGTAACCTTTGCTGCAAAACTGCAGAATTCCGTGTCTCGCCGTGCCCAGAGGCCTCTCGTGCCACTGCTGTCAAGTTCTTCTTAATTAAAGGAAGGTACAGGAAAAAAAACCAACCCCAAACCACTTACCAGGGAAATTAAAAAGAAAACAGACAGTTGCTCAGAGCCCCTAAAAAAATCCTTGGGCTAAATTACTGCTGCTTAATTTGGTGCTCAGTTAATCCTTTCACTTTGGCTGCCCAATCTTATCAGCAAATGTCATTAATCAGTACTATCTCTTAGCCAGCTACAAATCCCATTAGGATCGTGAAATGATTCCCAGGAAGACCCCAAAGCACAAAGAGATGGTGGAAACAGCATTTGGCATGTCCAGGTAAGGGGTCCCCTCTCAGCACTGGCTGTTCTTCCCGGGGTGAGCCCCAGGTTTTGTGGCACCTTTGAACACCCCTTGGCAGTGTTTTGGTTTGTTTTCCAGAGGGATAATTCACTTATGCTTCACGGGTGAACATGGATGAGTTTCCTTATCATAGACTCACGGAATGGTTTGGGTTGGAAGGACCTTAAAGATACCTCATCCCAGCCCTGTCCTGGGCAGGGACACCTCCCACCAGCCCAGGGTGCTCCAAGCCCAATCCAATCCTGGCTCTGCATGGATTTATTTCCCTGGAGAAGTGAGCAGCCTTCACATGGTGTCACATGGTGCCCAGGCCGTGCCCAGCACAGGGAGCCAGAGCCACAGAGCTATTCGCATGAGCCACGCGTGAGTCTTTGGAAACCCCTTGTCTTTCCCAGCCTAATCACCACCAACCCATTCTCTTTTACAGCCTGGAGTGCAGTTTTCCAGCAACCCTAATCCCCAGAGGTGTGGCAGCCCCCAAGTCGTGGTGTTGCCTTCCAAACATTTTGCCCTACTTTGTCTGGTAGACGCTGTTGTTGTTCTTGGAACACTCTCTCACACACACACACACACACACACACACACACTCTCTCTCCCACTGGTTCTCTTCCTTTTTCCTCACACTGAAGCTGACTTCAGTGTCTGCTTTTCCCCAGGTAACCCCCAGCAGTGGCAATAAAAACAGCATAGCACCGCGGTGAAGCCAGACGTGCCAGCTTCAGCATCCCCCCAGTGTGCCCTGCTTGGGCACGGGGCCTGGGACAGGTCCATGGCTTGAGTGTGTAAAGCATTGCTCAAAAGGACGTGTAAACTCGCAGCTCCTCCCACGGCACATCCGGTGGGTGCTCCTGGCAGGGGAGGGCTCAGCTGTGTGCTGGGTGGCCGAGCCCCTCACTCACAGCCTCCCCTCCCTGCCAGGCTGGTTCTCCCACCCTGCCGAGCCCTTTGCTACACTGCTGCTAGGGAGGGGAGAGGAGAGGGCTGATCCCCCACTGCCATGTGCTCTCCCTGGGATTCCGTGGGAATGCATTGTGCAGGAATCCCTTCTGATTTATTGGCTGTGTCTGTGTAGAAAGGTGGTTTTTTTGGCAATTTTCATCCTTATCCAAGCAACCAGCAGGACCCCAACCTCTCCGGGTATCGGTGTGCGCCCTGTGCCAGCCAGAGATGCTGTGAGTGCAGAACTTGCCTCTGCCCAAGGGGATGTCTCTGGGAGCCTTGGTGGTCAGTCTGATCGGAGCCTGTGGCCAGCGATGCTGTGGCACCAGCCCAGGCCTCTGCTGTGTTACTCCTGTGGGTGGCTCCAAGCAGAGAAGGAAGTGCTGTTTGATAGGAGGTGGTTGTGTCTGCCTTCCAGTTCAAGGAGGGAGGTGATCTTGTAGCTGGAACCTGCCAAGCAGACTCGTCCTGCCAGTGGTGGTGGTGTGGTGATTTTTGGCAGTGCTGATGATCTTGTAGCTGGAACTTGCTGAGCAGCTCGTCCTGCCAGTGGTGGTGGTGTGGTGATTTTTGGCAGTGCTGATGATCTTGTAGCTGGAACTTGCTGAGCAGCTCGTCCTGCCAGTGGTGGTGGTGTGGTGGGTTTTGGCAGTGCTGATTTGACACATCTCTGGTGTGGTAGGATTTTTTGTGTCACACTTTTGGGCCTTTCAGAACTTATGGTGTCCATTTCTCAGCCTCTGTCTCATCCCTCTCCCTCCCACCCCCCTTTAAACTAATGCTCTGTTGGCTTCAGCTCACAGAGGTCATGGAACTCTCGCTGCTGTCGCAGCTGTGGAGCACTAGATCTGATGGAAGCCTCGAGAGACCTCCATGTTTGGATTTCAAGCTCCTGCTGGGGTGGCTGATCCTCTCTCCTGCTGCCCTGGGGCCGTGGGCAGGACCTGGCACTGGTGGAGTCTCAGGGCCAGTGTTCCACAACTGTCATCTTGAATTGCATCGTGAGAAAAGTGCTTAGAGTTGAAGCTGGTGCTGGGTGACAGTGCATCTGGGTAAGGCAAATGAGAGGCAGTGAGGTGATCTCCGAATGGCATTGATGTGAGTAACTTGAGGTCAAGGGTTCACACTAGAGTCCCAGGCTTGGCTTTTTCCTGCCCATACCACTGGACATCTGCTAATTCTGGATAGAGGGGAGAATCCAGGAAACAGCTATCGTTGTAGTTCCTGCAGGAGAGAGGGAAGTTTGTTAGGACAGTGAGGGCTCCTGGGGGGTCAAACCAGGAGCATAAAACGTGGGTGGAGAAGCACACAGGATCCTCACAGACCCCACAGGTACCCCCAGGCTGATGTGTGGGGTGGGCTCAGCGTGCAGGGCCCTGCTGTCACCCACTGTGCTCTTGCCCTTTCAGCCATGGACTGTATAGCCTAGTGGGAATGTGGAAGGAGGAGGGTGGTGGTTTCTTTTTCCTTAGCACTTCTGCTCTGGGCAGGGACTTGCATCACCTGCCAGTCCCAGAGTGATGTGGCTTTCCAGGGATGGAGCAGGAGAGCATGCCAGGTCGGATGTGGAAAGGACCATGCTCTGTTGTAGGTGGCCCAGTCCTCATCTCGGGGCTTGTCTCCTGAGCAGCCACTGCTCCTGTCTGCCTGGGTGTTGTTTGCCTGCCCTGAGCAGACACTTGGTGAGAGGTCTCTTTGCTGTTGCTGTTAGGAGCTTTGATCAGGATCAGCTCCTGGCTCAGGCTGCAGAGCTCCTTGCCAGAGGTCAAAACCTGCATCTTTTGGAAAGTGACTGCTCTATCTGGGCAGTAACAGCCAGAACTGATGTCTCTCCCTCACACTTCGATTTGAACCAACTTCCAGACTAGAAATTGTTTCGAGGACAAAGGTGGGAGATGCATTTTCTGTTTGCTGTGGGATTCTCCCTCCTCCCTCCGTTCCCTCCACACCAGATGCAGTTCCTGCTTCCTCTGCCCTGTTTTCCACCTGTTTTCCCGGGGATTGGTGACTGGGAGGAACCTGAGCACAGGCATCACCCCTTGCATGCTAAAGAGCCTTTTGTTTCCCAGCTGGGTGCTGGAGGATGGAGGTTTATGGGCTCGGAATGCTTGGCACATGCCAGCTGTGAACGGTGGTAGATTCAAATGAGAGTGTCAGACAGTTTAATTAGCACAGAAATACTCTGAGGGGGTTTTTGTTCCCTCTGCCTTCCCACAGGAACAGGGCCAGGGCTGACGCCTCACTCAGCAGCCCCAACTCGGTGCTGGGAGGGAGGGGAAGGTGCTGAGTGCCATGGCCCAGCCCTGCCAGGCCCCTGCTGACCTGTCCCTGCTGTGCTGGGACCTGCACTCCCCTGCTCTCTGTGCCCCTGCACAGACCAGCTGGAGAGGCACAGAGCAGCTTCCCAGTTGTGCTCCCACGAGCTGAAGGAAGCCTTGTCAGCAGCCAGAGTGGCACAGAGTGAAAGGGCTGCCCCAGGGGGACAGGAGGGGCTGGTTATTCCCACTGTGCTCACGGGCTGTAAGGCAGGAGGGGGAAAGAACAAAACGTTCCCTTACTATACCTCTATTCATCAGTACTTTGGTGGGTTGGAGACTGAGACTCATCCATAGTGGGTGAGTTGTCTGTTGCTTCTCTGAACAAAGGAGAGCAAAAAAAGGAGGAAAGGAGAGAGGAAATGTTAAAGAAAAGAAGTGACACAGACATTGTTATGAGCTTATTAATCCAGTGAGGAAACAAGTTGATGAATCATCTACAGAATAAGTTAGTGACACACAAACATATTGAGGAGAACTGAGTGTGTTGAGCTGTGCTGGGTGGACACAGCCTGTTCCTGCAGTGGGGGAGTCTGGGCCGTGCCCCTAATGCCAAACTGTACCTGCTCTGGCACAGCCTGTTCCTGCAGTGGTGGAGTCTGGGCTGTACCCCTAATGCCAAACTGTACCTGCTCTGCTGTGTTTGTACTCTGCTCAGCCATGGGGTAAGTGCTGAGTTGCCTCCAGTTCTCTCTGCACTGCCTGTTGGTGCAGGGCCCAAGCTATAACTCCAGGTAACTCCACTGTCACCAGCTGAGAATTTGGCTTGGTGCATTTTTGCTATGAGAGACAGGGTGCAGGGCTTATCTCGACTGGAAAAATGAGAGAAGTTGGGATTATCCAAGCAGATGTCTCAGCTGGCTCCTCACCAGTGTTACTGCTGCTCATCATGGAGATGTGTGAAAGAATTAGGGTTGGGATGGAGGCTGAGATTTGAGTCTAGACTCAACCCCTCCACACTGGACACTCCAGTGTCCGGTGAAGGTAGAGGCTCTAGATTTGAGTCTAGACTTAACCCCTCCAGACTGGACACTCCAGTGTCCGGTGAAGGTAAGTGTTGCTCTGCCTACCTTGCTGTCCCCTGACCCTAGGTGAAATGGGAGCAGGAACACCTCCCTGTTCTCCAGCTGGAAGCTCATGCACAGGCCATGTGAGGCTGGATGTCAAATGTCTGAATTTAAAGTGCAGGTAAGGCCTAAGGGGTTGTGTTGTTTCTCCTTCATCTCCAATTTAAAGTGCAGTCACAAGCAGTGTTGGAGGAAAGCCAGAGGTCAAACCTGGTGCTGGGTGACCAGGAGAAATGACAGAGCATGAGGTTTTGCAGTGACTGCACAGGAAAATGTTGGCACAGGCGTGAGTCCCAGTCCACGACTCAGGGCACTGGAGCTGTTTGCCTGGTCGGGGGACCAGGGTGTTTTGAGGACTGTAGTGTCAGATCTAGCTGATCTCACCAGAATGAATTTAGAGGGAAATCTGGGATGTGCTGAGCCAGGCAGGGCCTGGAAATGACCGACAGTTCACGTGGCAGGACAGAATGGCAGGTGATTGCTAGAGAATACCCACGGGAGCTTGCAGAGGAATGTTTGTTTGCTCCTGGAACTCCCTGCCAAGGAACCCAAGCACTGCATTTCCAGCAGCAACAGCTGCCTGTGTGTGACAACTCACTCACACCCTGGTGAAGCACCTTCACCTTAGTGACAGCTGGAAAGAGAGGCACTTGAACAGTCCTGGAGGCACATTGCCAGGGAAAACTGAGCAGGAAAGTGTGAGTGCTGCACACACAGGTAGGGCAGGACTGACCCTTCCCTTCGCCACAAGGACCTTGCTGTGCACAGCAGTGAGGCTGCTGAAAACGAATACCAGCTATTTCAACGTGTGGGAAACAGGAGGAACCTGCAGGACCCCTTTGCCCGTGGCCACTCACCCAGTCTGCCAGCTGAGGAGGTGGTGGGGACTGCCCGGCGGCGTGGCTGCCAGCTCGCTGGACGGCGTGGAGCTCCTCTGGCTGTGAGGTAAGGCAGCTGCAAAAGGGTGGAGAACAGCTGGTGAGGGCACAGGGCTCAGACCAGCAGAAACACGCCTGGCTCTGAAGATTTCAGAAGCCACACCTGCCTCTCACTGGGCACTTCTAGGAGTTTGGCTTTGCTGACACTCCTACTCTGGGACCAGAGGCAGGATCACCTTACCTGAACAAAGAAGCAAGCTGGACTGAAAATGGACCATGGCTAGTGTTTCCTGGGGGAGTTTCCCCAGTGAGGGTCTAGCTAATAAATCCACCTGACCAACCTTTCCTCCTCAATTCCATGCAGTGTTGTCCCTCCAAGTTTAACACGTGCCTGAAGTCTGATCCTCTCGAAGGACATGGTGATGTCCAACAGCCCTAGGGGCTAGGGCTGATCAGTTGCAGTGATGTGATGCTTCTACTGGCATTCCCTTCTCTGCTGCCAGATGACACTGGTTCTGATCTGCTCCTTGGAGCCCCTGAGGGCAGTGTCCTCTCACAGCTGTAGCTGGGCATGGGCTCTGGATGCAGAACCAACCTGTGCTGCCGAGGGGCCAGGACAAGCTGTGACCATGGGATGCTTACCCTGGTCACATTCAGGTTTAAAGACCCAGCTGAGCAGGGAATGGATGGACTGACAATGGTTTTCACATGTTCTCACCCCAAACCCACCACTTTCCTGAACTGGTACAGTTTCCAAAGCTAACCAAGGCAAAACTTCCCAATGTTCAAGGGGTTTCTGTTGCTATGTGGAACAGAAATGGCCATTAATCAAAGGGAGAAGGACATTTTCATAGGGAGACACAGGATGGTTCCAGCAGCTACTCGGTTATGCCTTGGCCCATGCTTGGTCCTCCTATGAGTGCTGGAATCACACCTGAAACAGTCTCTTCTTGTGCAGCTCCCAGGAGGAGCCTGTGTCGAGCTGCCTCTGAGCCCACACAGGGAGCACAGGCCCCACTGGTGCCCACCATGTGCTGGGAGCCTTGCTGGGGTGACAAAGGTGACAGCCAGTGCTGCTGGGTGTGCCCAGGGAGGCCACGAGGGGCTGGAGCAGGGTGTCCCCACCGAGCTGAGGCATGTGGAAGGGTGGCCAAGGGTGCAAACTCCAGTTAACCAGCAACCCTGTCCACGTGGGGCTGGGCCTGGGTGTCTGGCCAGTCCTTGGCCTGTCCACACTGGCTTGTCCAGCGGTGACTGATGGCCAGTAAATATTTGACCTGGGGCTGTTTCACAGCACTCTGTGACCTTCTCAGTGTGATGAATTCGACTTTTCTTCCCGTCTAATATTAACAGCCCAGAGAGGTGCAGAGCTCTGTGCCTGACACAGGGGCCTAGCACTGCACAGAGGCAGGATGTTCTCACAGAGCTATCTGAGCTGCCTGGGAGCACTGAGTCTCAGCAGTGCACAGATGTCATTGCTCAAACATCTGAACAGTCTGGGGCTGGGATGGCCCCACTTAACCTTTCTCACACTTTGGGTGTTTCATTGAGCAGTGTTCAAGGCCAGGTTGGATGAGCCTTGAGCAACCTGCTCTGGTGGGAGGTGTCCCTGCCCAGGGCAGGGGTTGGGAATGGATCATCTCTAAGCTTCATTCCAACCCCTAAAATTCTGTGAGTCTATGATTCCTAGTCTGTGCTGAGGCCCTGCTTGCTTCACGCCACGAAGAGTGATGCCCCCATGGTTTTGTGACCTTCAGCCCCCAGTGCTGCCACCCCAAATCCAACTGAGGATGGGCTTGGCCATAACAGGCCATCAGCTGCTCCCTGCCCTTTGAGCTCGCCACTGCAAAGGGATGACTCCCATGGGCAAACAGGAGTGTCCTGGCAAGGTCTGCCCCTCGGTGTTACAGCTCCAGGCTCGGTGAGCAGCACACGGAGTCAGAGCACAGGGTCTGGCACTGCTCCCAGGTGTCCCTGTCTGGGCTCACACACAGACACACTCCAGGCTGTCCCTCCCCCGGGCTGGGCTCTCACCTGACGTCGCTTTACACATCTGAGGCATTCTCGTGACCCGGCTGTGAGCCACAAAGGTGCTCTGGGAGGATGTGCTGTACTGGGAGCTGCTGTCGGAGGAGGTGGAGCTGGTGTGGGACAGGCGGCTGTGCTCCCTGTGCGTGGAGCGCTGGTACCAAAAAAAAAAGTCCTGCCCGAGCCCTTCTCCTGGCCCTCCCTGCCCAGGGATGGAGTCCTAATGATCTGCGAGCGCGACGGGGTGAGCCTGACCGAGTCCACCTCGTCCCCGTGCCAGTTCTCCTTGAACATGCCTCCCGCCGTGTAGGAGTTGGAGGTTTTGAATTGTGCTTTCACGCTGTAGTGTCCCTCCTGGTCGTTCTCCAGGCTCCTCACCACCACGGGCGTGGAGCTGCCCTCGATGTACAGGGGGTACTCCTTGATCCTGTACTGGGAGGAGGGCTGGCTCTGGCTGTGCAGGTACACCCGGTGCTGTCCCGTGCCGTTCCTCGCGGCCAGGTTGGGCATACTCCCTGAATTGGAGGAGACCAGGTTGCCCGCGGATTTGTGCCTCTGCCTCTGCCGCTCTCTGGCTTTCGACGGGGAATCCTCTGCCAGGGTGGAGTAGTTGGGGTTCATCTGGGCAGGGTAGTAGTGCTCGGAGCTGGAATGGCTGGTGCAGGAAGAGCAGTCGTCCATGGGGTCAGAGCCATTACTGCTACGAGTCCTTGGGGTGTAGAAGTCAGGGCTCCCCGTCTCATTTTCCGAGCCCAGGAGCTTTCCCTGTGACTCCAAGCTGGAGCTCCGGTGTCTAAAGTGCTGAGCTAAGCTGTGCAGTCTGGTTGGGCTGATGTCTACTGACCTGCAGGTGCCAAGAAACAAAGCCAGGCTGGTTCATCACCAGGACACAGCACTCCCCATCCCTGCAGGCACACACTGGCACTGGGCACTGCTGCCTGCACTGCAGTCTGCTCCCCTGCCCCAGGGCTTGGCACCACTGCGTCCTGTTCCTGTCCCTCCCCGGTCCCCTTGGCGCTGACATGCATCCTGCAGCACCACGGGGGGCACAAACCCTTGCCCAGCCCAATTCCTCTGTGGCTTGCCCAGTCTGAAGGGTGAAAGCTGTTGACCCTCAGCCCTGGGTTTGCCGGCGGAGCTGGACCAGCACTGCTTCCCCCAGTCTGCATGGAGATGGCCACAAAAGCAAAACAGCAATGAAGCTGAACAGTTTGTAGAACACCTGCTGAAAATTGCAGTCAAAAGGGGCCACACATAAAATTACCACCCTGACACACTTCAGCTCATTCTGTCAGCCCTGGGCTGACTCTGCTGCCACCAGGATCCCTGGGTGGGATCTGTACAGCCTCTCATTCTTCACACATCACAGATGCAAACATTTCATCCATGACAGAGTGAGCACTGCTCAGCATTTTGCTTCAGACAGGAAAAAACACGTTCCCTCCAGCTGGACTCATGGAGGAATTCACTGCAGAATTTAGCAGCAGCACCACATGTATTTTAAAAGTGGCTTTGGGTTTGTAGAGCCTATAAACAGCCCCTGAGGTGAAAGGCCCCGAAGCCTGGTCACTTTGAGGGAGGTATGAGGGGCAGGGTCATGTTTGTCTGAAGGGATTTCAGGAGAAATTCCCTACTGGCAACATGAGTCTCTCATGTCAACAGGACCAGGCTGTGTCCTGTCCTGAACTGGGAATTAGCTCACATCCCAGGGGAAGGATGAAGAGGTTCCCATGTCTCATTCCCCATCTCTGGCATGTGCCAGGGATTTGGGTCAGTGGGTGTTGGGGCAGCAGCTGCTGTGAGCTACATCCCAGAGCTTCTGCAGCCGCCAGAGGCCGAGGCCAAGCCCTGCCCAAGCCCTCAGACAATCCACCATCCTTCCCTTCTCAACACTCTGCCAAACAACACTGAACACGCAGCAGCAATCACATAGTGCTGGGTATCATCTGTGTGGGCTGATCATCAGCCAGAACAACAAACATCTCCCACCCTGCCCGGGGAGGCAGTGACTCCTCTCCTGTGGGTCAGA